CAATGAACATCTTAGTTTTAAAAATGGCCGCACAATGTATTTTTACCTAGATTATACTATGAGATCTGTGTGCACGTCAACTGACCTAGGACTTCGTATATCACAATTGATAAAATCTGTGATGGTGTCTGTATGACTACATGGGTGGAAACAGAGCTTAGCCTGTGGGTTGGATAGCAGCAGGTCCAGGAAAACAGTGGGGAACGCAATCAACACAAGAATTAGGAGGCCATGGAAGAACAGAGGGAAGCAACAGGGAGGCAAACTGTACTTTGTGGTGGTGTTAATGAATCAGTTTCTGTGTACTGATTTTATGAAGCCATGTCACAGAACTCTGAGCCTCTGCATGTGAGCTACAATTTGTGAACAGCAGGAAACACTGATTGTGAAAATGTGGTCAGCTTGGGAATCCCAGTACCTGTTTTTTCTTTTTTCTTTCCTTTGGTGAGCAAACATCGCAGAGTACAGGACATCCTCTCTACTGATCCTCAGGATCTGCAAAAATCCTTTAATCATCAGCAGGACCTGCACTGTGTCCCTCTTGTTGATGCTGTCAATGCTTTACTGCTCCCGCTTGCACCCTTCATCAACCTGCTGCTTATATACAAATCTCAGCCAAAGCCAGTGTTTACTGTCAGAAGTCTTTCTCAGCTGTATATTTGGTTTCTGCTCCTCCCTCTGGAGTGCTGAGTATTGTATGTAAATCCTCAAATCAACATGCACAGATTCTATTTAATTTCACAGCTAGTCGAGTGGCTCTAATCTCATCCAGCCATTTGGGCTGTTTGCTTTTCAAATCTAATGGATGGGTTTTGTGAGGATGGGGTTGGGAGGGCATTGCAGCCTTGTCTTTTCTATGCAAGCTGATGTCTCCAGTGTGACACTACAGCAAATAATTAAATTGCTTCTTGAAAACAAAGACCCTAGCAACACATATGCGTATAACTGCAGCTGTATTGTGCTCCCGCATCTTCCCATTGATACAGTTTTTGAATATTGTTTATGTTTGCTGTCTCTTCAGCCAACACATCCATCCGGCTAAAAATGCGGAAGTAATGTCCAAAGCCTCAAGCGTCTGTCTTGCCCCTACCCCAGCAAAAATGTTCGCGACTACAGTATGTATGCATATTTTTATATTTATTTTTTTTGTGCAGTTGCCAAAAAAAAAAATCAGACTTAAGATAATGGAGGGATTTAGTCATAAAGCTGCTGCTCATTTCTGCATGGAATTAGATATGATTTAGTTGTTTTGTTGTTTGTTTAAGGAAATATATTAAAGCTAAAACGCAGTGTGCTAATAGCGAGACTTGGATTTGCAGTTTTTTGTTTTTTTTTTAATGCAGTGCTACATCGTCGCTGTACAACTGAAGTTCTAGTCCCTTTTTAGTGTCAGAGCAAATGTCAATATCCACCCCTCTCCAGCCAGGCTTAATATAGATTTTTATGAGCCATGAAATACTTTCTCTTGCTTTTTTTTTTTTTTTATTATGCACATATTTAATGCCTATTAAACTTTGCTTTAGAGGTTTCAAAGAAAATGACACTCATTTCATGAAAGCATTTTGCAATGAGAGCACACTTGTTCTATATTTGCTTCTTAATGCGGTGTTCTTCAGTTTGTTTTCCTATGCATGTCTCGATTTAGATATAAATGAATACACATGTTTTAAGGAGAGCTTATTGAAAGTCATTTTTAAAAATGTCCTTTTATTTTCCACATACTCAATGTAAACTAGGACACTGGGCTACCTAGAAGACGTTTCATCTCACACGGTAGTTTTGAATCGGATGGAGAGAACCTGCAGAATGGAGTAAG